GAATCGCCGAGTTAAACAAGTCTTTATGGAGGATTGACCATAAAAACATAAAGAATCATCGAGTTAAACGAGTCTTTATGGAGGATTGAGGATAAACATAAAGAATCGTCGAGTTAAACAAGTCTTTATGGAGGATTGAGGATAAAAACATAAAGAATCGTCGAGTTAAACAAGTATTTATGGAGGATTGAGAATAAAAACATAAAGAACCATCGAGTTAAACAAATCTTTATGGAGGGTTGGTGATAAAAAGATAAAGAAGCAACAAGGTTTTATGGAGAGCTGACCACAAAAAATAAAGAATCACCGAGTGAAACAAGTCTTTACGTAGAGTTACTGCTTGTTTACAGATAGGATCCATAGATAAATACCTTCTTTGTCTCTGAAGGAAAATTCATCATAGAGAATGAATTCAACTTTTTGAAATGTAATGATTCGATAAGTATTACCTAAGAAAATGTTTTGTTTCACTATATTTGATATAGCTTCCTTTATCCTTGACAGATTTGTGTTGTGTGACAGAACAAAATAAAACCACTTTGCGTCTTGTTTTATTTTAACAGGTAGCAGCCTGTCCTGTATTCTTACATTACAATGTTTCAAAGAAACATTAGTATATGTATTTTGTCTGAATGAACTAAACAGCGGTTCATACAATATTTTTTAAATTGTAATTATAGCAATAAATTATTTTCTGCATTGTTGATAGGTGGCAGTCCGTCTTACACTCTCAAAGCAGTCACAGTACCTGTAATAACTAACGAATTATGCAAGAAACAGCATGGACAAGGCGAAATAACTGCTACTATGTTGTGTGCCGGCGTCCTCGAGGGAGGAAAAGATGCTTGTCAGGTAAGAATATCAGTCGTTATGGAAACAGTGAGGTTATTCCGTCGCTGATCTATTTGTATGTGTTTGAAAACAGTTCAGATTTAAGTGTTTCACTCCAGTTCTGCGGACCATCCGATTCTAGGGTTAAAGTCTTTAGTATTTCATGATCCACATCTTTATAACAGACTAAAGTTTAGATTTATCAGTAATTTTAGATATTCAACTCTCCTAGGTAGCGCAGGAGAGTAAACTTTTAAATTGTGTAACAATTTAACGATAAATATTTAGCTATCATATCGTTGTCCAGAACGAGGATTCACGACAAATACATGGTTGATTCTAATAATGATAATAATAAAAGACATAGTATTTTTTGAACACAAGCTTGAGGAGGAGAAAGATTTCTTTGTTTTCTTATTTCAGTTAATAGTAATTTATGAGATCGTGAATATTTAATACATAATTTTTCTACACTTCGAACTACGTTCAATTATTCAACTTCTTAGTCCACATAAGCTACAAATATATTTTGTGTTTAAGATAAAATAATCTGAGAATTATTTCTTTTTCTAGGATGATTCTGGTGGCCCCCTTGTTGTGTATAAGGACAACGTGGCTGTATTGGCGGGAATTGTTTCTTGGGGTTACGGTTGCGCTCGACCAAACAAGGCCGGTGTTTACACCAGGGTCTCCTATTTCATTGACTGGGTTCAAAAATATGCCGTTTAATCGTAATTTTATTAAGGCATTCGTAAATTTTATATGTATTTTGTTTGATTATGAATACGAGTTCTCAAGAAGTTTTATATAAACCCTGCTAAGCAGCACAAGTAGTGAAATACCGTAAAATGACTGCTGTGAGTAAAAAATTTCTTTTTTCAAACCTGGAATAACCCTACTGAAATCTAGTTTCCTATGCCTGTACTGAATAAAACAATTAATTCGTCCAGTCTTGCTCAAAATTGATGATAATATTAGAATATTCAACTTTCTCATTGAAGATCCTATTCAAAATAAATATTTTTAAGTACGCTTATTCTAAACACTTTATAAGTATTATATAGGCCTAATATTAGAGATGACAATCAAAACTAGACTGCAGTATTTTCCCCCCTCATTCCTCCAACCTATTGTAGATTAGGTAAAAAATAGCATGTTTAATCTATTTTTTTTGCTCATATGCAATGGAATATAGGGCTACTCTTAACCAAGTACTTTACTTTATAACGCGCCAACAGCTGATGGGCTCAAACCTTGGACTATGAAATCCGTAGCCCACACTCGGCCTTTATACCCTTGTAACTTAGTACATTCAGCATGAATGTATGTCAGATGTTGAATATCAGTAGAACATAACATTATTTTGGTGTAGTTTATGTAGGATTTTCATCATGGACATTTGTAAGTTCTGACGAGAAAATGAAACCAATAGGCATAACATTAGTGAACAAATCATCACTAGATGTCAGCTACTTTTTCTACATCTCATTTAATTATTCCGTTGCAGATTTAAAATCGGAATAAGTGTAAAAACGGTATTTGAAATATCTTTTTTTGTGTACTACCCGGCATTACCGAAGTGGCCTTTCGTAAGCAGCTCTGGGCATGGTGGCAGAGAATAGTTTATCCAAGATACTATTTTATATGTATTATGAAACATTTAATAACGTGGTGTTCAATCGTTGAAAGTTTTCGTTGCAATGAAAACATTACGCCTAACATTAGTGACAAAAGTCACAATATTTATCTCGAATATGATTTAATTTCTTTAGTCGGGTATCTTATGTTGAGTTGACAAACTAATATCACTTTGCTGAATCAAAATTTTCAAATAAATAGTGTCAAAAAAAGAAACAGAATTTTGTGAAGCAATAAATATTGTTGTGTACCCAGATTTTTAGATAAATTGTACTTAAGATTAATCTAATTTCTTTAAAGTACTTTTGCACTTGTTTGTAAGGTCTTGATTGACTATACTTAGTAAAAGCAACTTTAAAAATTTAAAATGTGTGGAATTAGATGATTTCAAAGTGAAGGAAGTTTTTAACTTGTTACCAGAGGAATGCGAAACGTTCAGCAACACCTGCCACCTATATAAACTGCTAACATAAGTCATTCTACTATGAAACGGATCAATAATAAATGAGACATAACAAACTATTTAAACTATTTTTCCTTAATTTCATCAACGACAAGTTTAGGATTTATAACACTAAAATCTGAGGTTCGATTCCTCATTGTGGAGAGATCGTTGATAGCTCAGTGTATAGCTTTGTACTAAAACTGAGAGCACTTTTAAGTTGATATCTATCTAATGTCATGATAACGTTATTATGTTTCTTTGATAAATTATCTTAACCATACTTACATTTCTTGGATTAATATGTGGAATATTTCTGTTATTAATCGTAGTAAGAATTAACATATAAAATTATGGCTGAACCAGATCATGGGAATAGTGTAGTTTACTAAAATAAATTATATAACTAGTGATAGAATAAGGTTCTTAAGTTAGATAAAAACTCAACCATTACAGTAGAAACTAAGTTACAGAGATATTCATCTATAGTTGAAGAAAGTTAATATTTTATTAGAACACGACAGAGAAAGTCGATATTTTGGATCCAACGTGTGTAGCATCATATTCTTAATCAACCGAATTGTCTTATAAGACCAACTATTTCAAATATTAACATGTGTAACCACATTTCATCTGGGGTTCTATTCATGATATACGAGAAATGAACATATATAGTTAAACAGAGTTTTGAACATTCTTAAACCAGTACGTAACGTAAAGTTTCATTATGATGTTGAAATGCAGCTGTTTTGAATCATTATATATTGATGTTTCTTTGCAAGAAACTACGTACTGATCTGATTTACTGTTCTTGTGAAGCAGTTAATGGCCTATCTAAACTCGTGTTTTCTAATTGAATTATTTAATTTTGCTTTTAAAGAATCTTATTTCATGTATACTGGAAGCATTAATGATCAACCAGAGAGTGTTAGGATAGGATCCAAACTTGTTCCATCTGTGACTAATATATTTTTTAGTTAATGATAAATTGGCAAACAACGATTAATAAGTATAAGGAAGTGATTTATTTTGGCGGGATCATACTACATGTTTCGACAGGATATTAGTTTTTCTTCTTCACACCTGTTGAAGACAGACCAATGTTCTGTCGAAACATGCAGTATGTTCCCACCAAAATAAATCACTTACTTATATTTTTAAATCGTTGTTTATCAACTGATTATTATATTAGTATAATGTGCTTCCTTACTCAAGTATTATATTTTAGTTATCACGAGAGATAGTGACTAGCAGAGTATTACATAACCTTTAAACCACGCTGTTGTATGGCTCACTGTGGATAACACATTTGTATGTGTACAAATAGCTGCTGAATGAGAAAATGATTCAATATGACCATCTATGATAATCTGATACATAATGAATACATAATTGTTAAAGCAATTGTCGATCATAAATCAATATTTGTTGTGTTTTATGCTCATTTTGATAGTTCTATGAGTTTTACGATTAATTTAGTCAATGTTTTCCTCTGTCGTGCAAATATAATTGTGAGTAATTAAGCTTTGTTGCGTGAGTAGATTTCAAATATCCAGATAGTTTTGAAATTTCTTTGGACTTATTTCAACAAAGCTATAACTCTAGCTGTGGCTACTTTATAAAGGACAGTTTTAAATATCTGGTTTAAGTTGATGCATATTGAACCAATATTGAGAATAAAGAATGTATTTAAATATAAATATATGACTCTGGAGAGCTAGCGATTTTTTTTACGGTGTATAAGTTATCGTGTTTTCATCCTTATGTGTTATATACGCAACTATGAGTCTGTCAGCAAGATTAAAAGACCGGGAAATACATAATAGTATAGCTCGTCACGTAATGTTGTGTTTTGACCGACAATGTCATTGGAGGTTAATGATAAAAAACAATTACAGACTTGTGAGAGTCTGGTGATCCCATATCTGTAGTTGACTTTAAGTCAGTGACATTCGACGTACTCCCCCCCTCATTCTCTAAGTGTGAGCTATTTCGTTAATTCCACAACTTATCTACGTTATTCTGATGGTGCTACATTTCACGGCTATAAATTATAGTACGTTACGTTATACCGAATAGCTTATATACCTTCGGAAGAAAGAAGATACATCACATACGTTTACTGTACTCTCATACTGAGTATCATTGATCACTTTATGCACGTCCATAATTAAGATGTTAAATTAAAGGGATTTGACAGCACATTGGTGTATTGACCGTTTTAAGTACGATCGTAACGACGTTCGTGTGTTACATGTATACAACATGATTTTACTGTACAATTCGTATTGATCGTCTTAGTTTTATGTTGGAGACTGTACATTACACAGATGTAAATAACTTAACAATACAAGGAAAAATGACCATAGCATATTAAAATCAAGTAAAAGTACAACGTTTCGTATTTGTACAATTAAAGGTTGTTTATTAAAGCCGTCAATGGCTCCCACTTATAAGCACTCTACATGTTATGGATTTCGACTTCTTCTACGTTGTATTCATGCTGAATATCCTACATTGTATTACAATGTTACTGAACACCTGAAGTTCTTACAAGACAACAAAAATTAATAATACATTGATATAAAACATTTACAAAATTCCTTATCATTCTTAGGATATATTGAAAATATCTTTCGAAAGTTTTGTATCCACAGTATTTTTTTTCGATAAGATATCGTAAGAAAAACTATTATTTTCCCAGTTTTTCTTTGTAAATCATGTTGTAATAAACTCTACTTTTATATCTAACTTTTCTTGTCATTGTAGTTCCTGTTACTACACTCTTTACCACATTCGTTCCTACTATGTTTTGCACATTATTGAAAGAAGTCTCCACACGTCCACTCCCTTCATTACAAGTTATACAGCCTATACCTGTCTTATTCTGACCACATTTAATAACAGATATGCATGTATTACATGAACTAGGGTCCCTACACGTTCATTCCCTTCATTACATAGTTGTACAGCCTATACCTGTCGTATTCTGACCACATGTAATAACAAGGACACATTCATTACATAAACTAGAGTCCTTATACGTTCACTCCCCTTCATTACATGTTATACAAGTATTCTGAACACAAGAAATAACAAAGACACATTCATTCCATAAACTAGGGTCTCATTACAAGTTGTACAGCCTATACCTGTCGTATTCTGAACCCAAAAAATAACAAGAACACATTCATTACATAAACTAAGGTCTTTACACGTTCACCCCCTTCATTACAAGTTGTACAGTCTATACCTGTCGTATTCTGACCACATGTAATAACAGGGATGCATTCATTACATAAACTAGAGTCCTTATACGTTCACTCCCCTTCATTACAAGTTATACAGCCTATATCTGTCTTGTTCTGACCACATGTAATAACAAGGACACAATCTGAAACGTTTAGACTACGAATCCTATTCTGTACAGCTGCTGTAAGAACAATTTTATAAGAACACAAAGTATTAAGAACGGGGTAGTATGGCAGGCTTGTTTGCAGTGGGAAAGCTAGGACTGTCCATCCAAGCTTCTAACTTATGAAGCCTGATGTTATAGATGAACATCATTAATTTTCATAAATGATTTTATGGGGGAAAAACCTTTGGAAGCGAGAGAATCTGATTAGTTTACACCCCTCTGGCCACTTTTGTACTATAGGTACAATCTGGTTCTGTACCGTTAAAGATGTTAATGAATTTGTTGAATGAAGACCCACGAGGGGTTAGTTTTTAATTTGGATTTTTTTTTTCACTTTTCCTTTGGATCCTACGAATCAAATAATGATTCTCGCGTGATTTAGACTATGTTATTAATTCTTCGCATTGTCATATTTTATTTTATATTGTTATTGTGCACTTGTTATTGTTGCATTTGATAAGCTTTTTTATGTATTTTTAAACTACACTCACCCGTTTGATGTACAAATTTATAACTATATGAATGACACATCTTTTAAATGTTTATGTTTTGACAAAATTTAAAACTGATTCATACTTATCTCCATTTACAAGTTAGGACTTTAAAAATACTGGTAGAAATAAAATCATTCTGGCAAATTACAGAAATAATAGTTGTTTTTTTTTATAAATTATCAATTGATCATAAAATCTTATCAG